TTTGTGCCTACCCTCATTTAACTGGGCCTAAACTTATTAGGTAATTTTCAATGAAGCACTGTAAAGTCAAGATCACTCTCCTATATAATCCATTTAAAATTATTTGTTAAAATAATCGTAATTTTTCTTACATGTTACAGGAAACGCATTTATAAGTCTTGTTCTAAATAAATTGGTAATTTAATTTACTCTTGTCGGTGCACAAATGGTGTACTGAGGTTAGTTAATACACCTGTATGTGTTTTGTGATATTTTGCAGAGAGAAGGGAAGTAACTCCTTAATGAAGCGTGCCTGTAAAACCATGTGTCACGAAATCGGCCACATGTTCGGTCTTCCGCACTGTGTGTATTTCTCCTGCATCATGAATGGATCCAATCATCTGGAGGAGTCGGACGAGCGTTCTATATTCCTGTGTCCGGTCTGTCTCAGGAAGCTCCATTTTATCTGCCAGTTTGACATCATTGAACGGTACAAGTTGATGGCTGAGTTTTGGTCAGGGCTAGGCTACAAGGAGGAATCTGCTTGGCTGAACAAGAGACTAGAATTTTTAGCATAAAAGTCTGATCCTATGTATTTTTATCTGTGTATCGGGCAAGAAAGGGCAGACCACTCTGGAAGGAGGAAAACAAATCTGATGTCTGTTAGCCTAGCTAGTCCGGTTAAGCCAGATGAACCTTTCAGTGTTAATGCAGGAATTAACTCAGTCACCCCAGAAATGTCATAATGAACTATTCCAACCTTTGAATTAGAGGAGTTCAAATGTCTTCAGGGGTGAATTAGTTAAGTGACTTTTGTACTGGCTCAACAGATATCACCATCAGGCTTTCAGGTCTACATCTTTTTCATATTAAAAAAAACATGTTTGGGGACTAACATTCATGATCAAGACAGGGGAGATACTAGTGATGGGCCATCTGTTTATAATCAATCATCAGTCTCTGTAATTGGAAGTAGTAAACCGATCAAAATTAAGTTGAGAACACAACTACATAATACATCAGAAGATGAGAGTTGTAGCTTTATGGAGTGGATTTCAAGCAATTTTTATGCAGTTTTATCAATCATATAGTACGTACAAATCGTTAGACTTTCGATGCATACTACATTGAAGACATTTAACACTTTGATTTCAATTATTAACTGATTATACCAATTGTGGAATTTGTAATCCATTATCGGAATTGGAAACAGCAAACAGATCGATTTTAAATTACATGTATCCGGTATGATTGCACAGCCCATCGCTGGGAGATACTAGTAAGTACCAACAAGGAAGAGTGGGAACAAAAAGACAATTCCACAGATCCTGTGTTACTGCAGTCAATGGGGACAGCAGATGACCTAAATGGCCTTTGGCTAAGCAGCATCCTTGATACTCCAGGGGTTATGATCACTTTCGCTCTCTGCACCCCTGAATATATGTCATAGCAAAACCAAAGGCTCAGTGTGCACCACCTTGTGGATGAGACGAGAAGACTAGTTTGATCCTTTGATGTATATCTAAACAATCTAACCAAAGGCTCAGTGTGCACCACCTTGTGGATGAGACGAGAAGACTAGTTTGATCCTTTGATGTATATCTAAACAATCTAACCAAAGGCTCAGTGTGCACCACCTTGTGGATGAGACGAGAAGACTAGTTTGATCCTTTGATGTATATCTAAACAATCTAACCAAAGGCTAAGTGTGCACCACCTTGTGGATGAGAGGAGAAGACTAGTTTGATCCTTTGATGTATATCTAAACAATCTAACCAAAGGCTCAGTGTACACCACCTTGTGGATGAGACGAGAAGACTAGTTTGATCCTTTGATGTATATCTAAACAATCTGTCGGTCACCTAACTGTAAAATTGCCTGGCTTTGTAGTTGGGTGTTGTGCCTCTGTAATCTTCAAAGGACAGGTATCAACCTTAGCGATTGGTCAGGTTTATTTTACTTGAGACCAATCAAATAGCTTGTGCTTTCAATTTTGCTATGATATATTCCAGGGGTGCAAAGAGCGTAAATGAACATAACCCCTCGAGTATCAAGGATGGCTTTGCAGCTGACAGAAGAAAAGCCCAGATTCTGCTGGAGGGCAAAACGTTAGTAGCCTCTTACCATTACCAAAACATAAGGCCAATAATTTCCTTCAGGAGAAAAGAATGATTTTGAAATATATTGTTAGTAAGAATGGCAGCAAATGAAATGAGGGAAATGGACAACACGCTTGCTTTTCACCAAGGTGACCGGGGTTTGATTCCCCTATCGGACGTGAAAAGGTACAGGGTCACCTGCCTCCGGGTACTCCGGTTTCCTCCCACATTACGACCCTACGCATGCTAACATCCGGGCCAACAAGAGTAATAAATATAAGTTGAAATAACGTGTTTCATAATTGTTGTAAAATAAATAAAGTTCAAAAGAATGAATCTTATATAGATCAAGATTTATATACTTGCAATATACTTTTACAAATATTATGTGATATAGTAAACATTGAACTGAATTTTTTAGTAAACGTGATTTTGATGCACCAGTTGTGATGTGTTGTAGGTGTATAACACATGTACAGGCCGATTCTGATTCGGTCTTTTATATTCATTGTTTATTATTGTAAATATACACATTATAAGTTATTTTAATCAAGCATAGGTACACAAGAACTGGCTGGGGATAAGTGTTTGTTCTTGCTTTCATCCATTACAAAATGTAGATTCATGTACAATAGCTAGGCCATAGACTACGCATAGGCCATACTTGGTTTGTTTTCATTTTGTTTAACATCCCATTAACAGCTAAGGTTATTTTAGGACGTGCCTCCATGTGTGTAGTGTATGCATGCTTGCGTGTGTGTATGCAGGAGACAAGGTATGTTGGTGCTTTGCCTCCTCTTGATACCGTGGATCTGATGCTGACTTTACAGTGCTATCTCACTGAAATACCATGCCGAAGGCATCCAGCACAGCATTCCGCCCCTACATCACAAATAGTTACATTTTACATAAGGAAGACCACCCTTATTGTCATGCATGTGATCAACCATTAACAGTCAGACACTTTATGATTGAATGCGCTGATTTTAAACAAATATGTGACAGATTTTATAATGTATACTCTGAAACGTTTATTTGATAAAGTTTCTGTGCAATGAATGTATGATTATTTACATTTACCGTAATTTATCTCTATAATAAGATATATATTTTTTAAACAATTTGTTTGCTATTGATAAATTTGGACATCTTTTACACATTTTAACCTTTTGTTTCTGGTTTTTATGTATTCAGTGTTTTGTGACTGTCTATTTTTACATTGTTGTTTGGCCCTAAATGACTGAAATTGTCGATGGGCCGTAAACAATAGAAAACAAACAAACATCTATTACAAAATATTAATGTATGCATTTTACTCTGTACAGAGAAGTAGAAAAGAACAAACATGTATGTGCTAACGTCTAGATGTTCTCCAATTATTGTTATATAATTTAATAAAAAAAAATAATATTATATTGTTAATATATTAAACTAATAAATGGATCTACACATTACATATAGTTAATTATTCTGTACAAAACTCACCATCGAGACAATGCAAATATTTCTGAGTTATCTCCCTTTACTCATTTTTTGTGCAAACTAATTCGGTTAAGGATGACATTCTGAAAATGTCTGTGAATTATCAGGAAATATTGATAAGAAACAGTCCGCAAATTTGTCAGCCTTGTTACATACACAGTCATGTCAATAACACGCACGTGTCTAGTGTAATACCGAGCACAGGGACCTGCGAATTTGTTACAGCTTTAATTTATTTGGACCTAAACTAAGGTGTTGGAGTAATTTTACATGAGTATTTTTATATTTTTTAGGGGTTTAAAGTATAGATAATCATTGGGGTGTCATTTTTACCGATAGTCGATTTAAACCCCTAAAACCTGCAAAATTACTCTGAACACCTTAGTTTAGGTCCAAATATAGCTGTAACAAATGCACAGGTCCCTGTGCTGCGTATGTGCCTGACGACTGCAGCTACATTGACGACATTCTACACTTCATTTGACGATTCTATGTACGATTGACGTGAAACCACTAATAACATGAAGCATATACTAAAGCTATACATATTCTTAAGATAAGCATTAATTACATACATAAAAAATCATTTTTATTAATGTAGTATCTTTGCATAAACTTCTGGAATTGTATGCTTCAAGTAATTTTGGTACTGTCAATTTTGATGCAAAATTCTTATAAAACACAAATTTAATGAGATGTGAAGGCAAATTGAAGTGGCCAGATTGCACCATTTCACACTAAGGAATTTTTTTCCGGGGAAGGGGGTGGCATGCCCCGGACCCCCCTAGCAGACTCACTCGCTTCGTTCGGCAAAAGTCTCAGACGAACACTTTAGGAACCCCCCGGGGACCCACCCCTCTCACCCACCCATCCCATCTGACCCCCCGCCCCCACCCCCTCTATGCCTCTGGATCCGCCATTGCCTCGGGTAGAAAGTCTTGATCAAGTAGATAATCAAAATACACGGATGCATCCAATGGAGTAAGAAGTCCTGGGCGCATTATCAATCACCTGCGACGTGTTTGTATTTGTATACTTACCACTGGAGGGGACAATTTACGATGTGATATAGTGTTAGTGATACATTGGTCGGTCAACAACGTCATACCGAAACACAGGTTTAATACGATTTAGTTTTACAAGACCATCAACATACAGTTTTTAGATGTACGAAGATTATTGTGATTCATGAAAATTTAGTAATAATCTAGAAAAAAGTTTATATTACAACGATAATTACTAATTATAGTTGTAATATAAACATTTTTCGAAATTATCTCGGAATAATTTATCAGTTCACCCATTCGACCAAGTTTAATGAAGTGTTACATATATATATAAAAAAAAATACAAGTGTAAAGAAAATTATATAAGTGATCATCCATATTTACATAATATAGCTATTAAAATTCATGAAATGGCAATTATTTCCATTTAAATTTATTATGATAATAATCAGCAATTTTTAATTATTTATGGTGTAGTATTTTTTATTATCATCGCTCTTATGACTGATAACATGATACAGTCATGTTATAAAGCCCAGAAGGGTCTGTTACATGGGATGATTAAATTTTAGACGATATCCAACGAGTCCCGGGGATTTTTGATAAGTGATAATGGTTCCAACCTCATCCCTCTTGTCGTCTGAGTCATTTCAATTCTTACACATTACGGTAAAATCTCCAGCGCAACCTTTCCAAACACCCTTTCTTAACATCGAAGTCAGCGCGCCATATCTTCTGAAGACTTCCCTGTAGTCTGTTCTCCCGTTCCTATCATCAGCGTCAACTTTCCCGGGTACTTCTAACCCGCCGTCAATATTCCATTACCACACCATCCACAGCATACACTCCTATCCCAACCAAAATTTCGCTCGTCAGCACTCATTTACCATCCCGATCCTCACCATCAGCACTCCTTTACCATCCCCGCCCCCGCCGTTAGCACTCCTTTAACATCCCCGCCGTCAAAAGAACCCACTTACCGCCGTCAGCACTCCTTTACCATCCCCACCCCG